AGAATTTTTATGATTCGAATTTTTGATTATCACCAAAAAAATTTTCTGCTCACCATGTTGCCAAAAAGTACAGCAGGTTTTATCCAAATTGATAAGAGCTATTTTATTTATATTGCGTTTTTCTCTTCGATCTGGATATCACACTAGAATTTTTAAGTTTCAGATTTTTGATTTTCACGAAAATATTTGTACTCGATGTGCACTGCTAAGAGTTCGTGATGATTTCGAGAAATTGACAAGAGCAGTTTTATTCAAATTGCGTTTTCTCTTCGATCTGGATATCAGCCTAGAATTTTTAGGATTCGAATTTTTGATTTTCACCAAAAAAATTGTACTCGATGTGCACTGCTGAGAGTTCGTGATGATTTCGGGGAATTGACAAGAGCATTTTTATTTATATTGCGTTTTCTCTTCGATCTGGATATCACACTAGAATTTTTAAGTTTCAGATTTTTGATTTTCACGAAAATATTTGTACTCGATGTGCACTGCTAAGAGTTCGTGATGATTTCGGGGAATTGACAAGAGCATTTTTATTTATATTGCGTTTTCTCTTCGATCTGGATATCACACTAGAATTTTTAAGTTTCAGATTTTTGATTTTCACCAAAAAATTTTTCGACTCACCATGGTGCCTAAAAGGTAGACCATGTTTTTTTAAAATTGATAAGAGATATTTTATTTATATTGCGTTTTTTCTTCGATCTGGATATCACACTAGAATTTTTAAGTTTCAGATTTTTGAAGCTTAAAAAGCTTAAAAGCTTAAAAAAGCTTAAAAAAGCTTAAAAAAGCTTAAGAGACGCTTCGAAAGCTTAAAAGACGCTTCGAACGCTCAAAAGAAGCTTCGAAGGCTTAAAAGACGCTTCGGACGCTCAAAAGAAGCTTCGAAAGCTTAAAAGACGCTTCGAACGCTCAAAAGAAGCTTCGAAGGCTTAAAAGACGCTTCGAACGCTCAAAAGAAGCTTCGAAGGCTTAAAAGACGCTTCGAACGCTCAAAAGAAGCTTCGAAGGCTTAAAAGACGCTTCGGACGCTCAAAAGAAGCTTCGAAGGCTTAAAAGACGCTTCGAACGCTCAAAAGAAGCTTCGAAGGCTTAAAAGACGCTTCGAACGCTCAAAAGAAGCTTCGAAGGCTTAAAAGACGCTTCGAACGCTCAAACAAAGCTCAAAACCTCTGAAATTAGGTCATTCTAACAACCGAATTCTAACACCGATCTCTTTTTTGCCCTTTTTTTTTACCTTTTCTTTTCTCTCAATAAATATCCCGATAAAACTGATCACTAGATGACCCAATTTCTCTCGAAAAAAACGTCAAAAAAACCCAATTTCTCTCTTGCTTCTATTTCTATTAAACATCCAAAAAACTATAGACTTTTATTCTTTGAGATATTCTTTGAGTTCAACTTTTCTAAACACAACTTTTCTCGTATAGCATTTCTGGTGTAGAAAACTGGCCTGGCTTTTCATCAAGTTTTCCCCCATTCGTTCTTGCGCCAGCAATAAGTTTAAATGAGAAATTCAGTGCACTAGACGGCAAATAGCATTGTAAAGATCGATTTAAGCATTGTATTCTAGCAAAAATTCTAGTGTGATATCCAGATCGAATCAGAAACGCCATATAAATCAAATAGCTCTTATCAATTTGGATAAAACCTGCTGTACTTTTTGGCAACATGGTGAGCAGAAAATTTTTTTGGTGATAATCAAAAATCCGAATCATAAAAATTCTAGTGTGATATCCAGATCGAACAAAAAACGCAATATAAATCAAATAGCTCTTATCAATTTGGATAAAACCTGCTGTACTTTTTGGCAACATGGTGAGCAGAAAATTTTTTTGGCGATAATCAAAAAACCGAATCATAAAAATTCTAGTGTGATATCCAGATCGAACAAAAAACGCAATATAAATCAAATAGCTCTTGTAGATTTAAAAAAAACAGGGTGTACCTTTATGTAGTGCACTAGAAGGGAAATAGCATTGCAAATATTCATTTAAGCGTTGTAAATATTCATTTAAACATTACAAATATTGATCAAAACATTACAAATACAAATCTAAACACAATTACATCAAAAGATCATGCAATTCATCCGGTTTTCTCTAAAATTTCTCTAAAATTTCTCTAAAATTCCTCTCAAAACTTATCCCAAATCCTTTATTCAATCAAAATGCGAACAATTCCCGTATTCAAATCCTGTTTTTTTTTCTTTTTCCTAATGAACGTTTCTCTCTTTTGTTTCAAAGGAAATTCTGTTTCTGTTTCAAAGAAAATTTAGATAAATAGTTTAGATTAGAAAGTTAGATTAGAAATCTAATAGATTAGAAAGTTAAATAGATTAGAAATCTAATATAGATACTTTATTCAGGACCTGAGATAAAGTGCGCTGGATTTAAGATTAAAACACATGAATTCATACACATAACACGAAAAGGGCCGATAAAAAGAAACACGGTATAATATATGTAAAATGTGGGTAGCACAGGTAACGTCAAGGATCCACTAGAGCTTCAAGATCAAGATCATCTACAGATAATTTAAAGGTTTCGAGACTATTGGACTCTCTAGACTCTAATAGATTAGAAAGTTAGATTAGAAATCTAATAGATTAGAAATCTAATAGATTAGAAATCTAATAGATTAGAAGTCTAATAGATTAGAAATCTAATAGATTAGAAGTCTAATAGATTAGAAATCTAATAGATTAGAAGTCTAATAGATTAGAAATCTAATAGATTAGAAGTCTAATAGATTAGAAATCTAATAGATTAGAAGTCTAATAGATTAGAAATCTAATAGATTAGAAGTCTAATAGATTAGAAATCTAATAGATTAGAAGTCTAATAGATTAGAAATATAATAGATTAGAAATATAATAGATTAGAAATATAATAAATTAGAAAGTTAATAGATTAGAAAGTTAGATTAGAAATCTAATAGATTAGAAATATAATAGATTAGAAATCTATTTAAATCTAATTAGATTAATTAGATTTTGATAGATTTCTGAAATTCTTTAAGCTTAAACCGGATCTATATTCGAAAAATCAAAATAATATTCGATATTGAATATTTTGAGAGTCTTTTTTGACTTTAAAGATTATAGAAAACAAGAAAAGAATAGAAGAACAGAGAACAGAACAAAGTAGGAAAGAGAAGGAAGCTTGAAAAGGAAGCTTGAGAGGAAGCTTGAGAGGAAGCTTGAGAGGAAAGCTTGGGAAAGGAAAGCTTGGAGAGGAAGCTTGAAAAGGAAGCTTAAGAAAAGGAAGCTTAAGAATAGAAAGCTTGAAAGGATGCTTAAGAACAGAAAGCTCTTTTTTTGAAAACTGTCAACAAAACAAAGTAACAATTTGAAAAACAACAAACAAGCAACAACACCAAATGTTTAATCGTCGAATTTGGTGCGCTTATTTTGGTCGCCGCCTTGGTTTCCGTCGAACGATCTCTTGGCACCATAGTCTAAAATTAAAATAAGAAAAGGAAGCTTAAGAATAGAAAGCTTAAGAATAGAAAGCTTGAAAAGGAAGCTTAAGAAAAGGAAGCTTAAGAACAGAAGGCTTAAGAACAGAAAGCTTAACCTTTTTTTACCTTATAAACTTAGCTTTTCTGGCTTTTCTTACTTCTTTCCTTTACACAAGCCAAATTTGATGCATCCGTGTTTTCAATCAAAAAGAAACTATTGCTGGACTATCCAAGGGGAGAAGAAGGAGAAGAAGAAGGAGAAGAAGGAGAAGAAGGAGAAGAAGAAGAAGGAGAAGAAGGAGAAGAAGAAGGAGAAGAAGGAAGAGAAGGAGGAGAAGAAGGAGAAGAAGGAGAAGAAGGAGAAGAAGGAGAAGAAGGAGAAGAACAAAAAGAACAAAAAGAAACACAACACCGTCCATTCACTCCAAAAAGCAGAAACCCATTCCCATCAATGACATCATCAAGTACCCATTTGCATTCTATTCACCAGATAAAGCTTTCCAATGGTTTGGTTTATTTAAAACCCTTTTCCCCAGATTAGATCAGAGCCAGCTTTTAACCCGTCAGCTTTTAGCCTCTTTTGCTAAATCTTTAGCTTTCTGTTCAAATTTGCTCATTTTCTCACTGTTAAATCAACGTTAAATACAAGTGAAATCATGTTAAGTCAGTTAAATTCTTGCTTTTATCCTGTTTCAGACAAATCTTAATCTATTTTGCTCAAATCCTTTCGCATTTTGCATTCTGGGAGAATAAAAATTACTGGAAACCCTAGCGGTTTTGGATAAAACGGGACCAACAGTATCGTGATCAAAGTCAAGATTTCTAAAAAGTTAGCACCGCTTTAATCTTTTTCATTGTTAGCCGTGACCTCCAGCTTGCATCCTGGGATAATAAAAATTACTGGAAACCCTAGCGGTTTTGGATAAAACGGGACCAACAGTATCGTGATCAAAGTCAAGATTTCTAAAAGCTAGCACTATCGCTTTAAACTTTCATATTCTTTGATGTGACATCCAGCTTGTATCCTGAGATAATAAAAATTACTGGAAACCCTAGCAGTCTTAGATAAAATGGGACCAACAGTATCGTGGTCAAAGTCAAGATTTCTAAAAGCTAGCACTGTTGCTTTAAACTTTTTACTTATTTGATGTGACCTCCAGCTTGCATCCTGGGATAATCACAATGACTGGAAACCCTGACAGTTTTGGATAAAACAGGACCGACAGTATCGTGATCAAATTCGAAATTTCTAAAAACTAGCACTATCGCTTTAAACTTTTTATTTGTCAGCTGTGACCTCCAGCTTGCACAGTATATTTATTTTCAACCGTTTCTTTTTTTAAATATAGACCTAGCTGGCCTGGAAAGCTCAGGTTGGCAGGTTGAGCCTTCCAGCATTGGCTGTTCCAACCGTCTTCCAGCTTTGACGTTTTATCTTTTCTTTTTTATATACCCATTACCTTCTTCTCGTTAATCTTTAGCTAATAATGTTGAAATTTTCATCGTTTTTTCTTCAGAGGCTCAAATTTGTTCAGATGTGGTCGTTGACAACAATGAATATAATGTTAGCCGTATTCTCGATGTTGATGGCTGTGGTTGCGTTGGGATTGTTGGCATTTATAATCGCTCGCGAACACTACATGCCAAAGTAGGTAAAGAAGTCGCTACCGGTCGCCCATAATGACGGTGCGGAGTGTTGTGTAGTCTAGCTTTGGACGCGTTTTTCTCGACACTGGTTTATGCTACAATGCTCATTTAGGTATCAAAAAATAGCTGAAAATCAGGGCTATCTTTTGATACCTAAATGAGCATTGTAGCATAAACCAGTGTCGAGAAAAACGCGTCCAAAGCTAGACTACACAACACTCCGCACCGTCATTATGGGCGGCGGCGTCATTATGGCCGGCCGGGTACTATTACAGTATTTACGACAGTTTGTTAGCTTTTTCACTAGTTTCTAGTGTACTTTTTAGCCTTTCTATGGCTTTTTTATCGTTAACTTTTTATTTAATTAGCTAATTTAAAAAATTAATTTCTTATTTTCCTAATAAAGATCAAGAAAAAGAAGAAAAATGAAGATTTCCGCTATTTTTAAGCCTTTAAGATCATTTTTAAAGCATAAATTCATTTAGAATTGTCTCTATTTAATCATTAAACATTAATAATTAATAATTACAATATTTTATTTCCTTAAATGTCAATAATTTCAGAGAAACAGCGAAGTTACAATTTCGAGAACGAATTAAACGCCACGAGAGTGTCGTTGTAGATTTTCGTGATCCATCAAGTGAGTATTAGAGTTATAGTATTCTGTAGTTTATCTAGAGCTTATCTAGAGCTTCTAGAGCTTCTAGAGTTTCTCTAGAGCGTCTCTAGAGCTTCTCTAGAGCGTATCTAGAGCTTCTAGAGCTTGTCTAGAGCTCTAGAGCTTATCTAGAGCTCTAGAGCTTATCTAGAGCTTCTCTAGAACTTATCTAGAGCTTCTCTAGAGCTTCTCTAGAGCTTCTAGAGCTTCTAGAGCTTCTCTAGAGCTTCTCTAGAGCCTCTAGAGCCTCTAGAGCTTATCTAGAGCATCTCTAGAGCCTTGAGAGCTTATCTAGAGCTTATCTAGAGCCTCTAGAGCCTCTAGAGCCCCTAGAGCCTCTAGAGCTCTTCTAGAGCCTCTAGAGCTTCTCTAGACCAAAATAGAGATTGAATGACGCTAACGGATGACTGCCTATCTTTGATTTCTATTTTCCACTCATTTCAGCATACCTACACTGTAACAAGAAAATTGTAGGCTCATTCGATAAAACTTTTCGTCTAGCCGTTTTCTAGAAACAAAACTCTTTCTGAATTTCCCCAATTCCAGCCGTTCCCGATCATTTCCTCCAGCTGAACACGCTGATGTTCGAGAAGAGAAAACACCGCGCAAGCAATAATCAAGTGACTTAAAAAGCTCGAATATCTACGTTAAATCTATTTTCTGCCAATCTATCCCTGCAAGTCCCAATTTCAAAACCAAATTTCAGATTAAAGAAGTCGAGAAAAATATTTTGAATCTCGCGGGAATGGAGAAAATGATGACACCGATATCGTAAGTTCTTTGGAGGAGGGAAGAAATTGAGAAGAAAAAGTGAATTGCGTGGGAGGGGATTGAACCCTCGACCCACTCGACCTTTCGCTTTCAAAGCCCTGAGCTCTAACCCATTGAGCCAAGCGGCACCTTAGCTCGAGGGGGGAAAAAGGGAAAGACAAAGGGGAAGATGAAAGAAACGATACCTTCCTCTTCCTTCTTTTTTCGTCTCTCCCTTGTGTTCCCTTTTCCTTTCAACCATTTAAGAGACCGGATAGCTCAGTGGTAAGAGCTCACCCACCCGGGAAGCGAGAGGTCGAGGGTTCAATCCCTTCCCCGGAAATCTATTTTTCCTGATCGTATTAAAAATGTCTCAACGTGGTACTGTAGCTTTAATGATAGTACTGTAGCTTTAATTTCAACGTAGTTTATGCATAAATTTGCGTATTTAGTGAAGAGGACGAAATGTCACAACGATCGCGCAGCAGTGTGGATGGAACGACGAAAAAAGCTGAGGTAAAGGTAAAACCAAACAGACAACCGTAAAAACAATAGAACGCCACCCGGTCGTACAGTCGCGTAGTTTTTCCAGTGCGCTTTTCTTAGCTTATTGAATTAGATTGCTTTTAGCAATAAGTTTTTTTGGTTCTTCATTAGTTTGTAAGACAAACAAAAAGTAAGAAGAAACGGTTGAAAATAAATATACTATTGTGCAAGCTGGATGTCACAGCAAACAATGAAAAAGTTTAAAGCAACAATGCTGACTTTTTAAAAATCTCGAATTTTATCACGATACTGTTGGTCCCATTTTATCCAAAACCACCAAGGGTTCCAGTTATTTTTATTATCCCATTGTGCAAGCTGGATGTCACAGCTAACAATAAAAAGGTTTAAAGCTATAGTGCTAACTTTTAGAAATTTCGAATTTGATCACGATACTGTTGGTCCCATTTTCTCTAAAACCGCCAGGAGTTCCAGTTACTTTTATTATCCCATTGTGCAAGCTGGATGCCACATCAAACAATGAAAAAGTTCAAAGCGGCAGTGCTGACTTTTTAAAAATCTCAAATTTTTTTTGCTCAAGCCCTAGAATTTTCCCAACTTTTAGTACCAAAAAATACTAAATTTCAAGGACTACCATTTGACATCTAAGCACACACTGTAGCATAAGCCAGTGTCAAGAAAAACGCATTTAAAGTTAAACTACGCGACTGTACACGGTGAATTTGGCGGTGCCGTTCTACTAGATAAATTCATTTTCAGTCAACGAGTTCATCCGAGGGTTTTTATTCGAATTCCGCTCGTTCTTCTTCAATTTCTTCATCTTCTCCCTCAACTTCTACATCAGATTCGGAAGCCGAGTACGCCGATGTTCCATTGAAAGATGAGGTGAGTCAAAAAGGGAAACCCAATCAATCAATCGCCGCCAATCAATCTATTTTCAGATAATCCCAAAAAGCAATAGTCCAATTATTCTCACCAATTCGATCACAAGAGCTAAACGGAGTTTCCCCTACGAGGAATCGGTAATAAATTAAAATTTGGCAATTTGGCAAAACAAAAACAAAGAACCCTTTACTTTACTATCGGATTTCTATAGAATCGAAAATTCTTTACGGTATTCCTTTCCATTTTTCACTAAACTATCGTTTCACTTCATTTTAGATGATTCCCAAGCAATTATCCGACAATTCGATCAATCTCTCCCCAACTTCAAACACAAAAGAAATCATTTTAGAATGCGGAAATGAGTATTCGTTGTGCTAGAATTGAAATATTGATGAAAATCTAATCAAAAAAAACTAAGCAAAATCTTTTAAAATGCTTAAAAATCGAAAATTTTCTTTGAAAATCTACCTCAATCCATTTCCGTCAAATCCCAGCTACAATACGAGTATCTTTCTAAAAGAAATTTTTTTACAAAAACTTCACTTGCCATTGAGTTTTCATGTATATTTCCCTGAAAAGAGCATATAACTTATTGAATTTCATATCGAATAAAATAAATACATTAGCATTTATAAGTGAAATTTTCCGCTACACAATGAAAGATTAATCGGTCATAAACACACGCATAAAGATTGAAGAAAGCTCAAAACAACACACACATTTTCAACGATAATAAAATGTGTTCTAAGTCTACATTACCCGCACGAACAAATAGATTTTTTACATGTCGAGTATAAATACGATAAGCTAAACCAAAAATATCAATGAGATTGGGGGAAATTTTGATGTAAACCCAGAAGAAAATCGTGCAGATCAATTAAGAATTTTGCGATGAAAGAGAGAAATTTTTAGATATCAAAACTATCACAATAAAAACTTGATACTTATTGTGGCTGAAAGAATTCGGGATTCTCGATATTTTTGTACTCTTCAATAATGTCGTTGACGAGTTCTGCTGATTGATCCATTTCATCCAAATGAAATCCGTCCTCGTTCTTGAATCGATCAATGTAGGCGTTCTTTGACCGCATTGCCGAGTATTGATGGAGTGTGTGTGAGAGAAGAGTCACCGCCGACGTATGATTTGCCAGCATCATCCCAGAGACCTAAAAAGTGAAAGTCTTATTTGATCAGATATCTTCTAAACTCTTTACAAAAGTAAAGACCGAATCAGATGAACCACTGGAAACCACTTGAAAGGGAATGACCAGAAGTGAATGTGATCGTTTGGGATCTCAGTGATAACTCATTCGATAAATCTTATGATGCATATTGATGACCCAAAAAATTAGCTGTCCAAAGTAACTACAACGAGAAATGGGGCCAACAAGGAGCAAAAAAAATCACTTTTTTGACCCTCCTTGACGGGGCTCAAACATTTTACCGAATTAATATTTCTGAATAATCCCTTTGCATGTAATAGAACTTGAATGAAACTAAAAAATAAACTTTTATTCATTATAGAAACTTAAGATGTTCCTATAAAAAAAGCTCAGTAAACTTTGGCTAAAATCAATAGCTTTCAAATGTAAATTTTATAAATCCTTTAGGAATCAAATTTTACTATTTTTTTTAGTTTCACTCAAGTTTTATTACATCCAAAAAAGATTATTCAAAAGTCTTGATTCCGCAAAAAGTTACAGCCCCGTCAAGGAGGGTCAAAAAAACGTCATTTTTTGCTTCTTGTCGACCCCATTTCTCGTTGTAGTTACTTTGGACAGCTAACTTTTTTGGTCACCAATATTCATTATAAGATTTATCGAATGAGTTATCACTGAGGTACCAAACGGTCACATTCACTTCTGGCCATCCCCTTGTTAGAGTAGACGCTTCACTAGACAAATTTTCTTACCACACTGAGCTCCAAAGCGAATCAGCCTTTCTCACCATTTGCATTTCATCAAACTTACATTGACTTTCGTTTCCACGAAAGGCGAGAGTGGGGCTCGGCAGAAGTGCATTGGATTGTGGTCCATCCACGCTGGCTTCTGGATCTCGTCACGCATCATGGCTTGTGCCTGAAAAAAATGTAATAGAAGACTTAGTACACAGATTGGCTTTACAACATTTAAAACCTACTGCTGTGGTCGTGTTAAAGAAGTCCTCATTGTTTATTCGTCCTTGCATTATGGCCAATCCCGACAACATCACTCCCTTCGATTTGGCAAGGTTTTGATACGAGCGTGACATGTGATCGGGACGAGAAATCTAAAAGAAGTTAAAAATCGAACCTTCAAAGTGAGTACCATAAGATTTATTGGCCTCAATAGTTGACGTAGAACGTTGTTGATATTTGTCTTTCCATTATAATCCATTGCGTCTCTTGGGTCGACCACTGGGTGCATTGCTAAAAAGATTCAAAACTTGCAACCAAGTAGAATTTAACGTACATGTTTGTAAGAAACGCAGAGGGGCAAACGGGATCAACGTGGCTAACATAGAGGTCATTCGCGAGAAGAGTGGAGCAGGGAAACGAATTGTTGCTGTAGACATCGACATGATCCGGGAAACCTGAAAAAAATATATAAATCATTGCTAAATAGACTTAGGCCACTGGAGCAGCTAGCAAATAAAACTAGGAAATCTTTTTGTGTCAAAACAACAATATTATGCCACTGCTTATCTTTTTTCTGTGGAGCATTTATACAAGTACACGTGTTTGGTTCGCACAACTCACCAAATAATTGATGTGATCAAATTTGTTTGAAGAGGTGGCTCTAAGGTGACTGCCCGCAATATGATGAAGAGCTGTATTGTCAAGGATAACCACACCATCTGCTTCTTGAATTAGTCTAAAAATATCAATGATTATACCAACAAAAAACACTTACCTTGCAAGGGTCAAGATTGAATTGTACGGGCTGACGATCACATCACTTGTGCCACCGGCTTGATTTGCAAATACCGAATACGTTTGTATCACTTTCTTAGGGTATCTAAATCAAATCATGAAAAGTCATTAACATTTAGATTACTCGGAACGAATCTTTTCGATGAAAAATGATCCCAGTCCCGAGCCTGTACCACCAGAGACCGAGTGCGTGACCATAAAACTAAAGTACTTGATGTTTTACCAATACTCAAAAATTTACCCCTCAAGATCATCCGCCCGTTCTGCTTCTAGTCGAATCAACTCCAGTACATCTTCAGAGACTTTTCTAAAAACAACAATACTTTTTACTTTAAACAACAAAACTTACTGTCCTTGTGCGTATCCGCTCGCCCAATTGTTCCCGGCACCACCACCATCCGCACTCATAAACGAGCTTGTTCTAAACCAAAAATGTATTCAAAAACCATTAGAGGTTGCAGACTTTTTGAAGAAATCCGCGTAATCACTTTGAAAGATTCCGTTGATCACTCGGGGCTCCAAATCGACCATCACCGCCCGGGGAATGTACTTTTCTTGGTCTCCCTAAAGTCAAAGTTGCTATTAATGTCCCGGTTGGTGTACCTCAAAATTTAGCCTGGATCTTTCCGGTTAACGGGGGTAAAAGTTTTTGACCATTTTGCAGCCCGATTTTAAGCACCTTAAACTTGTCAGAGCAGCAAATTTTTATAAGATTTAGATAGCCTAGAGCGTCAGCTTTCAAAAACTATTTGTTTTGTCAAAAGTTCTTAACAAAAAACATATCTAAAATCGGGCTGTAAATTGGTCAAAAACTTTTACTCCCCGTTAATCTTTTTTACCCTCCGTTAACCGGAAAGCACCTTTAGCCTAAATAATTAAACTAACTTCACTAAAGAAGACATCCAATCGATCATTTCTTTGTCCTCCCGTCGGCGATTCCCGTGCGACCCCATTTGATGTCAATCCGTGCTCATTTGATAGAGTCTAAACAAGAAAAGTTTACTTTGAATCAGTTTTGTAAAATTCATCTGAATTCATCTTCAAAAAAATTCATCTGAATGCAGTTTTGTAAAATTAGAGTCCACGTCTTTAAACAAAGTAAAGCATACAAGCTAGCCAAGAAATTTCCTCAAACCAACTCAAGAGAATACAATATTTTAAAATCTTTTCAAAGTTAAAGCAGTCCTAGAAAATCAGCAGTTAAAGCAATCTTAGCACTTTTAGCAGTTAAAGCAATTAGCAGTTTTAGCAGTCTTAGCAGTTAAAGCAATCTTAGCAGTTAAAGCAATCTTAGCAGTTTTAGCAAACTTAGCAGTTAAAGCAGTCCTAAACTTCTGCTAGATAGCAAAAACAGCTTACTTTCCAGAAATCAAATCCGATTTGATTGCCACATTGTCCAAAATGGAGGCCAATTAACGAAGCCATTCACTAAAGGAAAGAATTAAGAAAATGTTGAAAAGGGTGATAAAAAGAAAAAAAAAACAAGGCCACGAAAATTTGATAATTTAAAAATGGCCAATCAGAAAGGAGAATGACAATTAAATATATTTAAAACCAGTGCCGAAAGCTGCAAATTTTAACTGAATAAGTGAATATCTGAAAATATCTTAAACTATCTTAAATCTTCAAATCTCCAAAATTTTTCCCTCAAAAAATCATTCACATTTTTTTTGCGCGTTCAAATCGGTTCCTTCTTTGCTCGGTGTTATTTGTTGTCCAAAGGCTAGATTTAGGCACGAAAAGGCAGGCATAGAACCAAAAGAAATAAACGACATTAAATTGTGAGCTAGAGGAGAAGGCTTGAGTGCTTTCGGAGTGACAATTCTAGCACTTTGTGTAAAAACATTAAAGAGAATCCACTTTTTAAGTCAAACTTGATAATTGGTAGCTATCTTGGTACTAAGGCAGTTAGGGGACACCTAAAATGTTGTTTTTCTAAAATGTTCAATAGTTGTTTTTCTAAGCGATGGCACTGATCACGAAAAAAACATTTTTAAGTTGTGTTTTCAATCAAAAACATGTATTTTCTCAAATATTAAGTTAACCCCCACTTTTTATATCTATTTATCTATACTTAGGCGCCATAGATTTATTTAACTTTCGCTCCGGACCTCTACCGCGCCGAAGGCACCCATGCGTTCTGACTACAGTATTTACTTCCATTTACTTAATCCGTATCGCATTTGCGCTGTTTGCTAGAGGCTGGAAGGCTTTGTGTGTAGGTGGCGCTGATTGATGTTGATCGTCAGGCCGACATCGATAGGCTCTACAAAGAAAACGGCGTCAATCGGCGCCACCTACACACAAAGCCCGCTACCTTCCGGCTTTTAGCAGACGGCGCAATTGCGACACAAATTAAGTAAATGAAAGTAACCGGTTAATTAATTTAAGTAAATGAAAGTAAATACTGCAGCCAGGTCACACGGGTGGCTTCGGCGCGTTAAGGGTGCGGAACCAGAGCCTAGGTAAATATATGGCTCTTATGTAAAAATAAATGAAAAAAGCGCAGCGGGGGTATTTTTAAGTGCACTCCCCAACCGCTATCTTTAAGGTCCATCCCCCTTTGCTTGCGTTTTGTTTCTTGAAAACTGTTTTGCTTATGTCTTCTCGATTATTTGTATTTTACTTTTGATACGAAATCTTTATATTTCAGAATGCCACCCAAAAATAAGGCACCAAACAAGGGAGTATCGTCAGCTGCAAAGGAAAAGGTATGCGTTTCTTTAGATTTTTCTGATACAACATTTGGGGTCAAGTTACCGAGGGGGTGGCTACTTTGCGCCAATTTTTTTTGCGCACGTCTCCATAACTTCTAAGTGGGCCAATCTCTATGATTTTGGTGTCATTTTGTGGATCTCAGCAAGTGCAACAAGATGACACTAAAATCATAAAGGATGGCCGACTTATAAGAAAGTTATGGCGAGTTGCGCAAAAAATTTGGCGCAAAGCAACCACCTCCAGTTACCTAACAGTTTTCAAACTAAACTTGCTGATTCTTTAAGAAATGCTAAGCGTTGAGGGGTTACTTTAGATATTAGAATGAGAAACAGTTTAACGAGTAAAGAAGTACACTAGTTATACTGACTTTTTCTAGGAACAATTTGGTGACGCATCTCTTGAGCAAGAAGTCGACGATGATTGCGAGGAATTCGATGTGAGATTTGAAGAAATATTGACTCTTTCCCAACTACTCACGTCCTTAATTTTTTTCTTTTTGTGCCGCACTGTCTGTGTTAAAAAGGGCTTTTTATGAAAGATCGGTATAAAACCATTCACGGTAATGAATACCATTCTGTTAGTGTCCCTTTCGCACTAAATTGTTTAGTCAGCAATGTTATTTTTGCTGTGACTTACTAACAATAAGCCAAAAACCCAATCATAGTGGTGAGTGAGCATGCGTCCCTTGCCATACTTTGCTTTAAAAAGTTTCGATTCATCATTCTCCACCACTTTGCTTCTTTCACCAAGTTGTTGTGTGGAAGCTAGCCCAAAATTTTCACCGCCCAATCTTTACAGAGTTTATGATAGTGCAACCACCTTAATTGTGATGACAGAAATGTCCAAGCTAGAATGAATTTTTGCGAGAGTTGCCTAAGTATAAATGATGAGTTTGCGGCACAAAAGAAAAAAATAAGAGGGTCTATTTTTTTATGGAGGTGAGTAATTGAAAAGAGCCGAATTTTTTTAGAATGCTCATTTCTTTTGTTTAGCCTTATGAATTGTTGCCAGAACCTCAGCCTCAAGTCAAGCAAAAGCAGAAGAACGGGAAAGCAAAGAAAGGGAATGCAAAGAAGGTGAATACAAAGAATGGGATAACAAAAGGGAACTGGTAAGGGTAGATTAGCTTTACCAAATTTACTTAAGGTTAAGTCTGTCTTTGAGAGTTTTTATAAACATGTGCATGTGCAATTTTAGAAGAGCACCGACGATGAAGATGAGGATGGTTACATGTCTGGAGACTCGCTTAACGAAATGAACAAATCAAAGAGACTGAATACCATTTCAAAGTAGTTCTTTTTCTTTTTTGCTTAACCCATACTCTTAGGTACAATTTTGACGTGATTCTCAACGATCCGGCTTTCGACACCCCTGAAGCACGCAAGCTTTATAAGGAAATGGAGTCAGAAGGTAGTCGCAAGACGTGAAAAGCTTGAAAAATGCCTTTTTAGAATTCACCATGGAATATTATGACTCAACGGGAATCGAATGTCCTTTACGTTTTAACTGTGATCCCGTAAAGCTGGGAATGAAGTTAGTTCTTTTAGAATATGTGGTAACACTTTCATTCTAGAATACCATCATCAACGCTGACAGTAGATGAAGTCATGGAGCTTGTTGATCCAGACCTAATTCTTCAGGTGGGTCTAGATCATTTTATCAAGTGCTTTTGACATCCTCGCAAATTTTTCAATCATATCTAACACACTCTTGTTTTAGGTGGTCCAAGTGTCGGATCAAAGTCCAAAATTTATGACAGCAAGAGAATGGGTTGTGTACTACAAGTGGGTCGTATTTTCTTGTGATTTCCAAAAAGTATTTATATTTTAGCACACCGGCTGAGCAAAAGAAGGCCATTTACAATGTTTTGTCACTGGAATTCGACCAAACACGCCTTCGCGACCTTGTAGAAAGTCCTGCTTTGGTGAGCAACTAAATGTTTCAGTTGTACATCCTCGTAATTTAGGTACGAATGATCGACTGGCTTCAAAAATGGCCGAAAAACCGACGAGATATCGCACATAAGCCGCTTAACGACAATACTTACAAAATTGATAGCACATACCCGAAAATCTCCTAGTAAGTCCTTGAAAATTTAGTGATATGATAGAAGATGGGGTGAAGAAAAATCTATTATGCTATGTTTAGTTACTGTCTCATGTCGCCAAACAAATCATACACGGATTTTCATGTCGACTTTGGTGGGTCATCGGTGTGGTACCACGTGCTTCGTGGTCAAAAGGTTTGATTCAAATTTGTTCCTCAAATGTCCTTTATTTTAGATTTTCTGGATTATCGAGCCAACGGAAACAAACTTGTGCATGTATGAAGAACATTTAAAGCACCAGGATCAAACTGGATTCTTTGGTAGAGATTCTGGTCGAATAAAATACATAATCAACTCAGGTAACGTGGTCGATCGTTGTGCATGCGTCGTGCTGAAGGAAGGGGAAACACTCGTTATTCCAGCAGGTTGGTGAAACCGACGGATAAAAGGGCACGCTGAAAAAAAGTAGAGGTCAAAACAAGATCTTGTGTCTCGATAGTATCATCTTGCATAGGAAGAGTTTTGCTTTTTGATTATTCCTATAATCCAGAACTAAAGTATGGTACACATTCGCATCATTTAATAAGCTCGTTTTGTTTAGGATGGATTCACGCAGTGTACACGCCAGCCGATTCGATCGTTTTTGGAGGAAACTTTCTTCACGCGTTGGCTGCATCAATGCAAATTAGGATTATTCAGAGTGAAAATCGTGTCAAAGTTTCTTTAATTTCTTGTTCAAAAAGTTTGGATCTTTCAGATTGCTCCACAGTATCGCATTCCGTTTTTTGAGGAAGTGCATTTTTACGCCATCGCAGACTTTGTTGAAAAGGCTACAGGACGCCGTTATGCTCGGTAAGGAAATAATTTTCAGAGTTTAATGCTATTTGTTTGAAATTTTAGGCCATTGCTCACATTTACTGAGGATACTGTTTTAGCACAAAGGCATGCTTATTTCGAGGAACAAGTTGATGTAGGTTGCAGGTTACCATCGATCAGCATTTTTTTTAGAATGAAAGTGAAAAGTACACCTCGGATCTCGCAAAGAAGAGAGAAACTGATTTAGTGAGCGTTTGATTTATTCAAAATTTTGATTTGAGTTTAGCGTTTTTTCAACGAGATATTCAACCATGCAAGAGAGACGATTTTTTATGATTCAGGGGCTGTTGTAAGTTTTTCCTTTGTAAAGGAATAAACTTTGTTCTGTTTAGGAAAAGTTACCTGAAGAACCTCTGATTGGGGCCACGTCTGTTCATCGTTTTCCGATTGATGCTGCGACGGATGGAGAAATTGGATACGATGAAAGTTTGTGGTTTTAATTCAATCTAGTGCCAATGCAACAGTTAAATATCTTAACAAATCAATCTGAATATGATTTTTCTCTTTAGATTTCATACAGAAAATCACTCCTCGTGCCCTTGCTGAGTTACAAGTTCTTTACGATTACATGTACACTAAGCTGAAGGTTCAAGTACCTGAAGGAATAACACGACCAGCAAGCCTTCTCAACTGCTTTGAACAAATCCTGGTAAGTGATTGGACTAACGTCGCGCCGAGCGCCCCCTCCGAGAACCCTGTAGCAATACTTCCACCATGAGGCAACACAAATTTACATACTTCAGCTCCATGCTTGAAAAAATTAAAAGCGAAAAGGTTGGGGAAAAGGACGGGAATCGGCACCGTCTTGGGGCTTGGATAAATCCAAGCACTGTGTAAACAATCGTGTCAGACTAGTTTGGTTTTGCTCTTCGAAAATTTATATCGTGTACACGCGAGGAAAAGGGTGGTTATATGGTCATGCAAAAAATGTAGCCATAGTTCGTATCTTCTGCTGAACCGTCGTTGTTTTTTTGTTACATTTGAAATTTTTCACAAGTAAAATGGACAGAATGTCTGTCCAACACTCAAAATTTAAAACATACTAAGAATTTCATTTTCTCGGCAATAATTTGTTTGAATTTAGCTTTATCGGGAGACGGATCTTAATCGACTTGGTACGCCAATTCCACAACCAATTGCAGTTTACAAGCGTCGGAAGAAACAACAGAATAAGGTACGGTTACAGTTCGAAAATTGAAAATGCACTTGTAGTTTATAGTTAGCTACAAGGCAGGCAATTAAACCAATGTCAACATTGATTTTCTGTTTTACGATGCAAGTTTACTCTTTATTTTTAGAAGATGCCTCCAAAGAAAGCAAAAAATGCGCGAAATGTGGTTAAATCGGAGTCACCGATGGTTGAGGAGAAGCCGAAGGGAGGAAAGGCAGCAAAAAATACACCATCAGCCGCAGCAGCATCATCTCATTCAATTCAAGACGACGAGAATGATTTCGTTTTGCCTCAAAAATTGGGTTTGTTTGTTTTGAATTTGCATGTAAAAAGTTCTGCTGAAGAACTGATAAGTAGAAAGTTTACCGTAATACCTCTAATAGTAGTGCCCCCTATAACGACGGTCGGAGCGTCACGTAGCAAAATTTTTTGCGACTCCGCGACTATACGGGGGCGCTACTATTAGAGGTATTACGGTAGATATGTTAAACACATAGTTTTATGCTTTATGCAAACGTAGCTAACAAAACCAAATTTAAATAGTAATGTTTCTGAAAGGGGGAATCTACTTACCGATCTAATGTTGTTTTTAATCTTATTGATTGTAAGAGTTTTCGTTTTAGAGATGAAGATCGTAATCCCATGTGAAGACAGCGAGTACAACGAGCTTTCAAAGGCGCTGAAAGAACAAGAGAAACTCTCGGAGGCTCTTCACATTGAGCTAACTGCACTCGAACCAAGTGAAGAATCAAAAGATGAACAACCGAGTCCAGAGCTGAATGGCGTATCGATGGTTAGCGAACTAGCACCAGAACTGGAATCAATTGGTATGAGTTTTTCCGTATGTTTAATGCTAAAATTTTAGTTTATTTATGCGACTTACAAGTCTTTACTTTTTTAGATCAGAAACTTGACGTCGAACAAGTTGATGAAAAGACGCCAACGCTCACTGAACCTGGTGTGTTTTACGTCAATTAATTAAGTCTTTTACGTCAATTAATTAAGTCTTTTAAAGTCACAGTGTTATGTTCGCACAGGTTTCAATACTGGAAATCAATAATCATTATTTTTAGAGATGCTTCGAATCCCAGTCGGTCGCATTCCACTGAAGAGCAAGAAACCACCAACCTTGGGAGGCACTGAGGCAAAGAAAGAGCCGAAGAAAGAAGACGATGATGATGATCAACGGGAAAAGGAAATGAAACGAATGCTTCGGAAACGGCCACAGCATTCAATGAACGAATTGAGCGATGAAGAGGATGAGGTGAGTCCTTCGAGCTGTTGCTCAACCTATTACTTATTTTAGAAACTACCTTCTGATCATATGGCAAAGAAACGCTTCCAAGATGACAATCGCAAGGTAAACTTTAAAGCTATCAGCTGTTTAATAATTCATTTTTTGAGATTGTTCGGGCGCCACCTCCAAGAAAACAAAAAATGACAAAGGAAGAGGAGCCACAAAGGGAAGTGAAACAAGAAACAAAAGATGGCGATGCTCCTGTTGAGGTAAAAGCCAATCTTCGGCCATTTTAATTTAAACGTTGCTTTTAGACGGAAACGGAACGATCGAAACGATTTGAACGGGAAAAGGAGCTGAAGAAATTGAAGAAACACCGCCCATCGGCATCGTTTGAGGACGCTTTGAAAGATCCAAAGGGCAAATCTAAGTCAAAATACAAGAAAGAAGAGAAGTCGCTTTTTCAAAATGGAATGCCCGTAATGGCTGGAAAGGTTAGTTAGTTATTCATCTTAAAGTTTTAAAAGAATCAGACTGAATTCTAACATTTAAAATGATCTCACTATCACTTCAATATTAAGCAATCGATTTTGCAAGAGAGCTTGTTTAGGAATTGCAAGAAGCTCGAAATAACATTTACGACTTCCGTCCTCTTGACACGATCACCGCACTTGGAAAAGCTCCTCTGGAAAGTGCTTATCGCAAAAGCAACAACAATCGGGTAAATTTTTAAAATTTGGCTCCTCATGTATTCATTCATTTTAGCTCAATCTCATCAAGCCACAGACGAACACCCACAAGTACAAAAATATGACCGCCAAGGATTGTTTGCTGGATAACGTTGGTGAAGAGAGCAACACAGTGGAAGAAGTTCGTTTTTAAATTCGGCACGGTCTAGTGAACTTTAGGAAAAGGAAGCATTCAAATCCAAGGATGAAGCTTTTGATTCTTTTGCAGAACCGTTGAATGTACGATTTTTTTTGTTTGTGTCTACTTTTGAATCTTTAGGTTTCGGTTTCTGGAACTCCAGCTTTCTCGGTTAATTCTCCTGGAACACCAAAACCTTCTGGATCGAGGGCTATGGTAGTAATTCTTTTAAATCTCCTAAGAACTCTAATATTTTTCTTTTTAGTCTTCTATTTCATCTCCACATGAGAGCTCAAAACGTCGTCTTTCGGTCAGCAGCACTTCGTCGTATGGAACTGAGAGCGGATTCGAGAACGCCAAAACGCCTGAAGTAATTTTTTAGAAAGTCATTCCTTAAAGATCATTCAAAGTGAATTTAATGCAACAAACTTTAGGATCCGCCCGGAAAACTTGCCGAGAAGCGCCGTCCCAGCTATTTGCCTGTGCTGAAACCAACCATTTCTCCAATTGGTTCGTTTGTTTTTAGTGTATTTTCTATGTTCATTTTAGCGACTCCCGCTTCACAGCGTTTCCCACCGGTCGAGAAGAAAGAGCAACGGGATAAGGAGAAGGGAAAGATCGCAACGCAAAAGAAATCGGACACAACAACACTCACTTTCACGCTCAGGTACTGTTTTATTTTTGCACATCTAGTTGTTAGTATAGCACTTCAAATCAAGTACAAGAAGTCTTAACTTTTTAAAACTTTGAATTTGTCAATTTTAGCGAGAATCCTCACGCCTACGCTGCGGAACGTCTCGCTCAGATGGGAAGTTGTTTGATGCAATTGAGTGCGAACACGAAGGAAATGGCTCAAATCGATTCTTCATCTGCATAAGTGAATTGCATTCTATAATAATATGTTAGACTGTTGTCTCAGACAATAATATGTTCATTTGTATTACTCTTTTACGTTCTTTGCGTTGATGAGGTACTTTCTAGTATATTTGGCACAAATTATGGGATTTTGCTTGTTTGCCCTCATTTTTTATTTGATCTCTCCATGGAAACGGGGATTGCAGCTTTTGATAATCATATTTCTTTTGGAACATGTGATATTTTAGGCTGAGTGTTTCGAATGTTTAATAAATAAATTTGGCTTTAAGACTAAAGACAGAAGAAATTTTGATCAATTTTATGTCGTAATGGACTGGAGTGGTTGTTATGGTGATCGGAGAAACATTTAAAAAGCTATTGGCTGTAATGTTTATGAAAGTTGAGCTATTCTGTTCTTAAAAAACTACTCTGCTAATCCAAAACACTTAAATTATGAAATTCGAAGATTGTGATCTCTCATCGGTCACAATTGAATCGACATGGAAAGAGGCGAAGAAAACGACCCAGGAAATGGCAATGGGAACAGATCAGCAAAATGTAGGAAGAGTTTTTGTGGTTGATAAATTTTCGATTGAAATGTCTTTCTTTAAACTACCGTAATTTTGTCTCTATTTTTATCTAATCTATCTATTTGATTTAGCTAAAAGAAATCGGTACGGATCCGATGAAATTCCCCGAAAAGGAAACGCAAACCGATGAGCGGACAAAGAACGATCGAGGGGATATTCGGGGGAAAATCGAGGAAAAGGTGAGCTTGGTGTTGTTGTTGTTGTTGAATGCTGTTGTTGAATGCTGTTGTTGTTGTTGTTGTTGTTGTTGTTGTTGTTGTTGTTGTTGTTGTTGTTGTTGTTGTTGTTAACCGAATCACTTACCATTTCTCATTTTATATATTGCAGACCATCATGCAACTATCGGAAGCAATTGATGAATCGATTTTAACACGGGCGCTCTTCAGAAAACTCGATCGTTTCCATGTGGCCAGTGATTTGCAGCTACAATTGACTGGATCGTTTCCAATTGCTCAGGTTCGAATTTTTTTTTCTAACCTTTTCTTTGTAAAGGCTTTGGAAAATTGAAAGCTCTAAAATGTTAAAGTTCAGGGAAATGTAGGCAAATTCGGATTTTTTTAGATAAATGATGACGAGTTGACGGTTCTCCAGATGATCAGCGGGAATTTCGGACGTTTAGCCGTTTTGATCGGCGCTCGAGAGCACGATGCATGGTGTACGCATAGTGGGAGAATTTTGTTCAGACATCGTGGAAAGGTTTGAACAACATAGAGCAAGAGAGGTTCTGGGTTTAGCCTCTGGCATTTCCTGACTAGCCATTAGAAATCAAAATCCGAAAAATTTTCGCGAAACTTTAGGTTTTTACTCTAGATTTATCCATAGAGGGTCTAAAGTAAAGATTTCGAAAGATTTTGAGGAGTTGTTGCTGTTAGATCGTTGCTGTTGTTAGATCCTTGCTGCTGTTAGATCCTTACTGCTGTTAGATCCTTGCTGCTGTTAGATCGTTGCTACTCTTAGATCGTTACCGCTGTTAGATCGTTATTGCTGTTAGATTGTTACTGCTCTTAGATCCTTGCTTCTATTAGATCATTGCTGTTGTTAGATCGTTGTTGCTGTTAGATCCTTGCTGCTGTTAGATCCTTACTGCTGTTAGATCCTTGCTGCTGTTAAATCGTTGCTGTTGTTAGATCGTTACTGTTGTTAGATCGTTTCTTCTGTTAGATCATTGCTGTTAGATCCTTGCTGCTGTTAGGTCGTTACTGCTGTTAGATCATTGCTGTTAGATCGTTGTTGCTGTTAGATCGTTGTTGCTGTTAGATCCTTGCTGCTGTTAGATCGTTGCTACTCTTAGGTCGTTACCGCTGTTAGATCGTTATTGCTGTTAGATTGTTACTGCTGTTAGATCCTTGCTGCTGTTAGATCGTTGTTGCTGTTAGATCCTTGCTTCTATTAGATCGTTGCTGTTGTTAGATCGTTGTTGCTGTTAGATCCTTGCTGCTGTTAGGTCATTGCTGCTGTTAGATCCTTACTGCTGTTAGATCGTTGCTACTCTTAGATCTGCTGTTAGAACTGCTGTTAGATCATTGCTTCTGTTCGATCGTCTGCTCTTAGATCCTTGCTTCTATTAGAAAATGCTTTTATTTGAATAGAATATGCTATTTTCAAATATTAAACTTTTAGATTCACACTCATTCAAGCGGCGTTTGCCCCCAGAGTGCCGCTTTTTCATCAACTGGCATCTTGGCTGTTGGCAATGCGAATGGAGATGTGATCATTGCACAAGGCGAATCACTCTTGTCCACAAATAAGGTATTATTATTATTATTGAATACTATTGGAGTAGGGTAGTACTATTTGCAAAGTAAATGACGCTTAAAAACTTCTTTAAACGTTTAAAGATAGTGTTCGAGGAAAAGTTTGACTAAATTGTAGAATAAAGATAAATTCTAGTTATAAAGCTTCTTTCTAAATGTAAAGCTTCTTTCTAGTTATAGAGCTTCTAGCTATAGAGCTTCTAGCTATAGAGCTTCTAGCTATAGAGCTTCTAGCTATAGAGCTAGCTATAGAGCTAGTTATAGAGCTTCTAGCTATAGAGCTAGCTATAGAGCTTCTAGCTATAGAGCTAGCTATAGAGCTTCTAGCTATAGAGCTAGCTATAGAGCTTCTAGCTATAGAGCTAGTTATAGAGCTTCTAGCTATAGAGCTAGTTATAGAGCTTCTAGCTATAGAGCTAGCTATAGAGCTTCTAGCTGTAAAGCTTCTTTCTAGTTATAGAGCTTCTAGCTATAGAACTAGTTATAGAGCTTCTAGCTATAGAGCTTCTAGCTATAGAGCTAGTTATAGAGCTTCTAGCTATAGAGCTAGCTATAGAGCTTCTAGCTGTAAAGCTTCTTTCTAGTTATAGAGCTTCTAGCTATAGAACTAGTTATAGAGCTTCTAGCTATAGAGCTTCTAGCTATAGAGCTAGTTATGGGAGCTTCTAGCTATAGAGCTAGCTATAGAGCTTCTAGCTGTAAAGCTTCTTTCTAGTTATAGAGCTTCTAGCTATAGAGCTTCTAGCTATAGAGCTTCTAGCTATAAAGCTTCTTTCTAGCTGTAAAGCTTCTTTCTAGCTATAAAGCTTTTTTTGTAGCTAAAGAATAGCTTAATTCTAACTAAATATTCAGCTTTTACAACTGAATATCTTTAAAGTAAAAGAAATTGTTTGTTTGTTTGAAGATTTTCAACCTGATTTCATTTCATTTTATTTTATTGTATTTTATTTTATTTCATTTTATTTTATTTAATTTTATTTCATTTAATTTCATTTTAGATTCATTCCCTATCAGTGAGCTATTTATGTTGGACAACGTCGACAACACTGATCACAACGTCACTTGATGGATCAATTACACAATCGAATCTTAAAGGGAATCGTTTAGAGATAATAAAGGTGTTTTTTTTTTTGAATCAAAATGAAAAGAAAAAGAGCATTTTCACGGTTAATATTGTTAATTTTTAGACGAAAAGTCTCTCTGTAAGCGATCTACCATCAAAACATCGAAAAGCATCATCTTCATCAAAGGTTTCATTTCTTTTTTCCATTATTTAACATTCAATCCACCTCCTTCAGACAATAGATAGCCAAAATGCAGTACAGCGCAGTACAGCACAGTACAGTACACTACAATACAGTACAGTACAGTACACTACACTACACTACACTACTCTAAACGATACTTTTGTGTTATCTGTGAAATCACAGAAAATTGATTAGCTGGAAAGAAGCTTTTCCGGTTCATTTTCTTCACCTTTCAGTGTTGTTTATTGTAATTGATTTAACTAGCTCTTATTCTAGCATTGATTACTCAATGATAAGATTGGAAAGAGATTGAAGCGATGATCAGTACACCCAGCGCCTCCAATTGTATGAATTCGATTCACAGAGCTCCTGGCACACACTTGATGCAAGTGAAAGTGCTAATCAACGAGGCTTTATGAAGACGTATTCTTACTTTCTTCAATTCTTCCTCACGAAATTTCATTGTCGAATTGCCGATTGTCCATAATCTTGAGAGTTCTGATGGACTTGAGCCTCGAATGGAAAAGATGGCATGGAAGAGATGGCATGGAAGAGATGGCATGGAAGAGATGGCATGGCAAACATTGTTCGTCCGAATGACAGGAATGGAGTCTAGAAGTCTAGAGGCATTGCCCAACGATATTGATCTGATTCTCGAGATTGGAGCGTCGATTATCGATTATCGATCATTGGTTATTGGTCATTGCTCATTGATCATCGATTATCGACCATCGATCATTGATCATCGATCATCGCTCATTGATTATCGATCATCGATCATTGATTATCGATTATCGACCATCGATCATTGATCATTGATTATCGATCATCGATCATTGATTATCGATCATCGATCATTGATTATCGATCATTGCTCATTGATCATCGATTATCGACCATCGATCATTGATCATTGATCATTGATTATCGATCATCGCTCATCGATTATCGATTATCGATCATTGATCACCTCTCGGACAGTTCGACAATTGAATCAAATCCATTTCGCAGACAAAGTAGACGATTTTTCTTTTCCCTTTTCCGACAAAGCGCTTATTTCCGAGAATCTCATTCTAAAGTAAAGTGAGAAAAATTATTTTCATTTCAAACTTTTATAGATTGAATTCCTTTTTTTGCCGTTTATTGAAATATGTGAATTCTAATGTTAAAAAGCTCGTTTCCTGTGGTCATAAAGCGTCTATTGATCGTCTATTGATCAATAGACGGCAAGGGGAATGGCAAAATAGACGATTTTGCCCCTTCCCCTTTCCCTCTAGCTAATTTTCTTCGAAAATCTCCCGTCCAGATCACACAAAACCACCGTTCCCAAGCCTAAAGCGAGTGTTTTCAGCGAGTGGCCATCGTCTCAGCCAATCACAACGATGATCAATTGTTGATTGCAACGGAAACCGGTGGCCTATTCCTGTTTTCATTGGAGAATTTCACATTTCGTGTGATACCGACAAGAGCTCAGATGAGTCAAGAAAACTATCTAAAACTATCAATAGCTAGAATCAGCAAAATATCTTGAATAGATAAAATAGTTGAATAATAAAATAGTTAGCGTATTATCTATAGAATTTCATTTTTAGGCTTTACTAGACGTGCGATTGTTCAATGGTGCCACCCAATGCTCGGTGAGTCCACAGGATGGAGCGACAAGAATACATTCAATTGATGGAACACTTTTGGATGCTGTGCGGATTGAGGCACAAATGTTTGAGGTGAGTAATGTTTTTTTTTTGAATGTCCTCAACCCGCTAAAACACTTAGGATTTTTTCATATTTTCTTCGTTTCCTAAAACGTGTCCCCTTTCTCTTTCTACCGTAGTCGATAGATGGTACTCTAGTGACCTAACCTGTTAATGTATCCCATCTGGAATCGGCAATTTTCACTTTCTAACACCAAAAATTTGATGCCACAGCAATATTGAAAGCTTTTGCAGACAATGAACGGCAATCTGTTGATTCTCTCCGATCGGGAAACCCTCGTTTTCTATAACGTTGACGAGAAAAAGGAGGTTTGTCACAAAAATAGAACAAATTTCTGAAAAGTATCAGAGATAAATTTTTTCAAGACATGAAGTAACTCAAGGAAGAAAATTTTTCAATCCACAGACAACTTGCGCAACTTGGGAAACAGAAATTAATGGCAAACAAAGATTGCAACATTACAGAATCAATGAAATGAACAAGTCGAGCAAAATTTTCAGGTTTATCGTGAGAAATTGGCAACGCAAGCGTTGGCGGCAAATTCGCAAGATGAAATATTTCTGATTGATGCAAAGAATAATATCTTGTGCTTTAAAGTCGCCAGAAAGTAAAAAATAAAGCCATCACAAAAACGAAAATCCAACCACGACTCAATAAATTTTGCACAACTTCCGTTAAAAGCAACATTCTATCCCGCCTTGACTCTCTGTACGAAAACTTTTATTACCACTGTATCAATTTTTTTTGTGCATTTTCAGTAACAAAATGTTTATTGACAAGTTAAGAATCTTTACTTTTTCGCTTTTGGAGTTCCTCGAAGCAACTGGGAGATGAAACGTTGAGCAGGCTAAACAGAAACCATTGGTAACGTGATAAATTGATGATTTTACCATGATATCGCGCTTCTTGTAAGTCTTGACCAGGTTGGCGACTCCGTTTCTTGCTCTTCGGCCATTCTTGCTCAAAATGCTCACAGTCCGGGTCGATTTTTGTGGAAGGTGCTCGTTCTTTGCGATTTTCGTCAAGACGTCAACCTTCTTTCCATCCTTTGAAAGCTAAAAAAAATTATAATTTTTGCGCTAAATGTAAATAAATTTTTAACGTTAAATAACTGATATCCGTATTACAAATGGGTCTACTAATGAAACGATCCACTTAATTTGCAGGCAATGTTCTAAATCGTAACAGGCATACTTTAGCTAGCTCTACTGGCACACTCTATGTTTCAAATCGTTTTGCCATTTACAAGCTCAAACAGCACATTCTAGATTAAATTTTGAGCTTTAAACGTGCTTTTAAAACGTTCACGCACAGGTTTTACACTAAAAGAAAACGCCAACTTGCTACAAATTCGCCGCTTACTGGAATGCATCGATTCGAGTTTACAAACTCGATAAAAACCAAAGTGGTTATCGAAAGACGCCAAAATTTGAGTGACAAAATTCACAAAACTAAAACAAAACCTGAATGTGCACTCCTTTCTTGTTAACCAATCCGTTGTAACGTTGCGAGTTGACGGCCATCAAGTTGAAGCGTTCAGTCGAGAAGCGCTTTGGCACGTTTCGTCGCGTCTTCAAGAAGGCCGAGTTGTTGCGGATCGTTTGCCAAACGATGTCGGATGACATGACTCTAAAAAGAAAACATTACATTGTTTGTGAAATCGCAACGAGATAAAGAAGTAATAGGGCAAGGGGGTTGACTTGAGAAAAGTTGAAATTGCTGCTTTGAAAAAGAAAATATCGTAAAGACCAGCAATAGACACGCAATGTTTAACAAAAATTACGAATCCAGAACAGCACCACAAAAATATTAGGCAACTTTGACCATTCAAGACGCCCTTTGAAAATTACAAATGGGCTAAACTTCAGCAACTCTACGGCGAAAAATCAGCGGTGGGAGAAATGCGACCTTTTCTTTGCGCACCCTACCCCATTAGAGAGCACCTTTTTTCGCCATTTTCAAAAAACTCTAAAACGCTAAGATTATTAACCAATTTCTATTCCAAAAGTTATATTTCTGGGTAATTTTAGGGCGTAGAATCCAAATTTTGACGTATCAGAGCTCGTGGAACCAATTTAAAAGATAGTAGGTCAAATTATAAAAAATTGTCGATTTTTACTATGTAGAACTACGTCCGCTTGGTTCCACAAACTCTGATCTGTCAAAATTTCGATTCTACGCCCTAAAATTACCTAGAAAAATAAACTTTTCGAATAGAAATTGGTTAATAAGCTTTTAAGAAGTTTTTAAAAACGACAAAAAGTGCGCCAATGACAAATGACAAATTTTGCCCAAAAATTTATTTTATATTGACAATTACTACAGTAATACTTTAAAAGATATTCAGTCAAACAATTGAAGTTGCAATTCTTTGCTTTGCTAATTTTACGCCTATAAATTCGACAAAATGTGTTGTATCTCAAAGTATTCATTCAATTTCATTGTTTTATTTCATTTTCATTTCCGAATTACTAATCTTCTTATCTAATAATTTTAGGCGATCCGATGAGCGATGATGAGAAAATACGGCACGAGGTCGAAGACATAACAGTGGATTTCATTCGGCAACTCGCTCGTCCCATCACGAAGAGCTCTCCGTGTTTAAAGCTGTAAGTTTTAAATAAATTGAACTTCCAGGAAGCAAATCAAACAAAAACTGTGGTACTACGCCGGTTGGGGGCGGGGAGGGGGAGGGGGAGGCAATTTTTTCTTCAAAACCGCTTTTTCTAGGGTAGCTTTATGCGTAAATTCCGAAAAACACAACAAGAGCTCGGGAAAAGGCGTTTTAAGCTTAGTTTCGGGCTTAGCGCGCTTCTACAGGGTTTTCGAATAAAAAAAGTCAGTTCAGCGCGATTTTTCTCAGAATTCCTAGTGACTTCTGGTGCTTGTTGCGGTGCCAAAAAATTTTTGGCAAGGGCAAGGGCAAATTTTTGATAGTTTTTCACTTTTTCCCGATTTCATGACTTTCCTATTAATTTCATCCTTCTCCTATGAAATTTCTGAGCCACTATGGCTGTCACCACCATGAGATTTTTCCCATAAAATTGAAACTTTCTACTGACATCTAATATGACACTATTGTCATATTAGAATATTAGAATTAACATATAAACTAAGTTTTATAATCAAACACTATCGGTTTAGAACATTCAGTAATCACTTGTACAAAAAACTCTTTGAGCTCGCAATTTTCCAAGAGGCAACCAAGTTCTGCTCATGAGCTACTAATCAATAAAGTGTTTGGTTGAAAATCTTAGTTTGCATGTTAGCTCTGATATGACACCACGATGCCAGTGGAAAGTTTCAATTTTATGGCAAAAATCTCATGGTGGTGACTATGGTGGCTCAGAAATTTAGTGCATAGAAAAGTCATGAAATTGGGAAAAAGTGAAATCGTGGACCACATGGTCGAAAGTTTGAAAAAAAATTTTTTTATTTTGCTCCGATTTGATCAGAAACATGATCAGTAGGTTGAATTATGCTAGAAGAAGTGTTTTTCGCTACAAAAAATGTTTGAGAGACCATTTTTAGACATCTTTCCCTTTCCCTCTCATCACACTGTATGAGCGCGCATTTTGGAGCCCCGAAACTAAGCTTAAAACGCCTTTTCCCAAGCTCTTGTTGTGTTTTTCGGGGTCTACGCATAAAACTACCCTAGAAAAAGTGGGTTTGAAAAAAAAATTGCTCCCCCCCCCCAGCCAGCGTAGTACCAAAACTGTTTTATTATGTTTTACCTTGCTAGAAATGCGTGAAAAACTCAAAAACTAACAGAAACTCCCGATTTGGAGACACTATATTTTTTTGACTGTTTTACCAACGTTATTTGACTTTTTTGGGGTAATCAAGCATGATGAATCTATTGATAATATTTTTAGAAAGTACTAAACAATTTTTATTGATATTTTGAGAAGCTAGCTGGAATTTTGCCTCCGCAGTGTTGTTAAGCGTAAAAATGAAGAGAGAGGCAAAATACAAAGTGCTAACTTGTTCAAAATATTCTAAAAGTATTGTCAATCGATTAAGCGTATTTGATTACCCCAGAAAATGCAAAACAATACTAGAAAAGTACGTCTAGAATGAGAGACTGACCAAGTCGGATCAAAGTGCCCCCCCGAAGTTTATTAGTACCGAGGTGTGGACCATAAAGTTCAATTTAGCCAGCTTTTTAATTATAGAGCCCAAAGCGACCCTAGGTAGAGTCTAAGCCTAGTTCCCTCATTTGAATTTCATTTTTAGTGGTGTTAATCCAAAGTGTGGCCAACTCAGATACAACCGGGCGACTCTACGAAAGCTGGCTCGAGATCTGACAGCATTGTCCAAGGTTTCTTTGTTTTTTTTTTGCGTAAGCTGGTTTTGTTTAGGTTTACAATCTCACGATAACAAAAAACACGGCCACAAAGAGGTGCTATATTTTTACTTTTCTTTAATCCATTTCTTTTAGGGATGTTTACTATGACGACAAAAAGCTCTACAAAGAACAACGCAACTCGGACAATGCTCTACGAAGTGTTTGCTCATTACTCGACTCAAATCGTCACGAACTTTCAGTGGTTAGAGATTTAATTAAGTAGAGCATTTGGTAATGTATTTGTATTTGTAATGATGTATTTGGTGCTTTAGATCTCGTGTAGTCGAGGGATTTTACAAGGCGCATTAGCATTTTTGGACTTGAATACCGGTTAGTTTCGCTTTAAAGGTTAAATCAAACAGAATTTAGGCAAGTTGATCGATTGTCAAGCGGGACCGGTGCCGTTAAACGAGGATTTACTGTCACTTCGTCCACTTCCTACGGCGCATTTCATTTTGGTGGTTGAAAAGGATGCGACTTTTCAAAGAATGATCGATGCCGGCTTCTTTCTCCATTATCCAAAGGGGATTCTTATGACGGTTTGTTACTCTAATGAGTGTTGCGTGTTGTTAAAGTAAATTTTAACTATAAAATGCTTCTGTTAAACTAGAAACTTAAATTCTTAAAGTTGCTTTAGCAAATCATTGGAATTTTCAGAATTTTATTTTGACAGTTGACTTTTTAGGGGAGAGGTTACCCAGATCTCGTTTCAAGAAGAGTCCTTTCCTGGCTTGTTAAAGACACCTCACTGCCTATTTATGGCCTCTTTGATGCGGATCCTCATGGTTGTTTTGTCTTTTTAAACCTCAGACTTTGTTTTTAGGAATCGAAATATATTTGACCTACAAATATGGATCAGTGCAGGATAGGGCGGAAACAAACAATATTTTTGTTCGGGAAATACAGTAAGCTTCGTTTTTTTTCTTCTAGATGATGCGAGTTTAGGTGGATTGGGTTAAAGCCGTCACACATGCAAAGTGTTCCGTTCCCCTCGGTATCGACTTTTTATTTCAAAACAAACAAACAAACAAAACAACTTAAAATACACTGATCCAACTAACTAAGAGCCACTTACGTTTTTTAAAACTCAGTAGCGACTTTTGAGAGAAATCAAGGAAATTCAGCTTTGGCTAGTAGAAAATCTTGGTACTAAACTTTTCTGTACATTTTCATTTAGAAGTTGCTAACCGTCGTGGCCCTTTTTCTGCAAAAGCCAAAAAAATGGCACTTTAGCTCTCCAACTAATTATAAGGTCACTCTGCTTTTTGTTTGTAGTTGTTTTTTTTCGTTTCCCATTTATAATTGACTTTACTTGATGAAGTTATTTTTAAGTAATGGCGAGAAATAAAACGCTCTTGGACTTTGAAAAAGGACAGATCGAAGCGTATAGACGCGCTGCAAAGAGTAATCGGAAAAATTGCTCGACTTGCCACGACGGTTAGCAACTTCTAAATGAAAATGTATCGGAAAGTTTAGTAAAAAGATTTTCTACTAGCCAAAGCTGAATTTCATTGATTTCCCTCAAGTTTTAAAAAACGTAAGTGACTCTATAATTAGTTGGAGCAGTGTATGTTCAACTTATAGAAATAGTGAATCGAACTGAACTGAACTTAATTATTCATTTCTAGAGTCAACTTCTAACACTCACACATCGAGACTACATGAAGATGCGCCGTGTTCGAACGCGGGCAAAATTTTTGAACGAGGAAGATGTCGTGGATGAAGTAATGTCTAGACTTGTAGCCAATAATATTTTTGTTCAGATAGATTTCATCACGAAACAGGAGACGAAATTTGAACTCGAGGCGCTAACTGGTGGCGGATGCGATGGAGATTATATCATACGGTTTGAAAGTTTTAAAAGTGTTTTATGCATGAACTTTAGATGTTATTTGAGTTCTCTAATCAAGAAGCTGCTCCCAAATCACTACGATCCACTGGTACGATCACGGCAATCCGAATTGGCTTCCGAACTCGAGGAATAATAACAAATGTAAACCGTTAATCATTTCAGCTTTTTTGTTGTGTGTACTTTGTTACACATTGTGTATGTGCTATGTCCTGTGATTTTGTTTATATATTTTTTTTCTACTAACATCTTTAGAATTATTTTTAAAAATGTTTATTTGTCAGAATAGATTGTGCTAATTTGTGGTAAGGATTTGAATGTAATTTCTAAGCACAGTGCTTATTTTAATACGTTTTCTGGAGTGGTTTGTTTGGGTGGTTAAGAACACTGCTTTTGTATCTCCTTTCTCATCCCCAAGAGATCCACAATTTCTCAAGAATTTTAACTTTTTCTCTCTTTTTTAGCGGTGTTCTTGACATGTGGATAATCTCGTTTTTCTCCTACTCTGCCTTTTGCATTTTTTTTCGGCCGATTCAACCCCAAGGGATCTCCTCCATTCCACCAAACAGCAGGCCAACATGCTAAACATCTAGAAATCTTTAGACTTATGTTATTTAGGTCACAAAACTTGTTAACTAAGCGGTAATTTGGCTGATCTGACTTGGGCTTAAGCTGGAATTAGACATGAATCAGTTCATGAACACCGTGCCTAACTCAATGCACAGATCAGCAAGCTATTCTGGGCCAGTAGTTGTAATATCAGAGACGGAATCTTCTTGTTGTCAGCTTTCTATTGAAAAGCTTATTGCTTAAAACCCTATTTCCCTTCTGAATCCTCCTTTTGATCCAAAAAAAAAGTTTCCCTAGACTTTTCTCATTAACAATTCGAGATGGGGTTAAATGACGGGGGATTTTCATTTAAAAACGGGGTCAAAGGGGAAAGGAAAGAGGAAGAAAAAAAACGGGGTTGAAGTTGAAGGGATAACGAGATTGGGGCTGGGGCTACTGAGAGAAGAGGCTTTGTTGTGCTGAAGGAGGAGGAAGAATGCGATGGGGACATAAGGGGAAAAGATGAGGCCAGACTGGGAAAACGGGGGGCACTCTTTTTGAATTTGAGGGCATCAAGAGCGACTTGTTTTTTGTTGCGCTAAAAACTGATTCAAATACACTTCTCGAGCTTAGATTTGCAAACGCAACACTTCTGGTGCAGTGAATTCTGATCTTTTTTTTATTGAAAATGATCATTTGGACTTATTTTTTGTTTGTAAGATTTGTTTCTCTCTTTAAAGCCAAAGTGCTGTACTTTGAGCTCATCCCCTTCTAAACACACTCTTTCTAGTGCACTAGATTCTTTTCCCTAGAAAGAAACCAATGCACTAGAATGAGTGTGTTTACGGAAAAGTTGAGCACAAAGTACAGTTTGAGAGATTCTTTTGAAATTTTGTTTTTTTTTTGCAAAAAAGTTGATGATTTGGATAATTTTGGCTAATTTTGGCTTAATTAATTGCAAATTTGGGAGTGGGACAAATGCGACCTTTTTTTTGCGCACCTTTTTTTCCGCACCTGGCCCATTAGCGCACCTTTTTTCGCGTTTTAAAAAAGCTCTAAAAAGCTAATATTAACCAATTTCTATTCCAAAAGTTGTTTTTCTAGGTAATTTGAGGGTGTAGAATCGAAATTTTGACATAACAGAGCGTGTGGAATCAATTTGAAAGACAAAACGGGTAGGTCAAATTACAGAAAATGGTCGATTTTTCTCTTTGTATAACTCCGTCCGTTCGCTTCCACAAGCTCTGATATGTCAAAATTTCGATTCTACGCCCTAAAATTACCTAGAAAAACAACTTTTGGAATGAAATTGGTAATATTAGCTTTTAGAGCTTTTTTAAAACGCGAAAAAGGTGCGCTAATGGGCCAGGTGCGGAAAAAAAGGTGCGCAAATGGCCGGGTGCGCAAAAAAAAGGTCGCATTTGTCCCACTCCCGCAAATTTTCTTTTTTTTCATTAAATACTTTAAATATTAACTATTTTTTAGAATAAATAAAGACTAAAATAGCTTTTATTTGACTAGATAGCTTTTATTTTAGCTTAGCATTCAAAAAATTTGAAGATTAGAAAAAAAAAAAATCTGCAAAAATTTTTTTTTTTTTTTGATTAAATAAAATTTTTGCAAAAAGTTTCATTTTACGTCGAAATCTCTAATCCGAAAATTTTAGCCAAAATTCCATCAAACAAATCTCTTTTTGAATCAAAAATTCGAGAGGCAAAGAGAGGAAAAATAATGTCCTCTCTTTGCTCTCGAATATTTATGGAGTATTGACGTTGTTTCCTGTTTCGTTCCTATTTGGCTACTATTTGGTTCTTATTTGGTTACTGTTTGGTTACTATTTGGTTACTATTTGATTCCTATTTGGTTCCTATTTGGTTACTGTTTGGTTACTATTTGGCTCCTGTTTAGTTCCTGTTTAGTTCCTATTTGGCTCCTATTTGTTTCCGATTTGATTTCGATTTGATTTCTATTTGGTTCTTATTTGGTTACTGTTTGGTTCCTATTTGGTTACTATTTGTTTCCTTATAACTCCCATTGGGTTCCTATTTGGTTCCTATTTGGTTACTGCTTGGTTATTATTTGATTTCTATTTGGCTACTATTTGGTTACTATTTGGTTCCTATTTGGCTCCTATTTGTTTCCTATTTGTTTCCTATTTGGTTACTGTTTGGCTCCTATTTGGTTCCTACCGTATTTCTTCGAATAGAAGACCGGGTAAAGAGTATGATCGCGTACTCCTGCGTAGCAGCCCTTTTTAAAATTTCTTTTCTGCAGAAAAGCTTTCAATGAAGTGCTATAGAGCTGGAAAATGGCTCAAAAATACCACATGAACTAACAGATTTTTGAACCATTTTCCAGCTTCATTGAAAGCTTTTATGCAGAAAAGAAATTTTAAAAAGGGCTGCTACGCAGGAGTACGCGATCATACTCTTTACCCGGTGTTCTATTCGAAGAAATACGGTATTTGGCTCCTATTTGGCTCCTATTTGTTTCCTTATAATTCCCATTGGGTTACTATTTGCTTCCTCATAGCTCTTTGATTTTTTTTTTGACTTTTTATTACTTTTTTCAGCTCTTTCCTCATTTCTTTACATTCTTTTTTAAACCATTAACTGAAATGCAGTCTTTTTCTTTATAAATTAGCTTCTTTTCTCATCTTTTCCCGTCTTTCCCCTTCTCTTCCCTTCTTTTCCCATCTTTTCCCTCCTTTCCCCTTCTTTTCCCATCTTTCTCCTTCTTTTTTTCTTTTTTTTTTTCAATCAACAAGCCATTTGCTGAAAAAGATGACATTTTAAGGTCTTCTACACTTCTAAACTTCTAAACTTCTTGATGATACTTTTTACCCTTTGATTTTCACCGTTTAACCTATGAGAAAATGTAAACTTTGTGATTAAATTGTTTGCAAAAGAATCATTTCTAGTGCAATCAATTCTTCTTCTTCTTCCTCTTCTTCCTCTTCTTTCTCTTCTTCCTCTTCTTCCTCTTCTTTCCTTCTTCCTCTTCTTTCTCTCTTCCTCTTCTTCCTCTTCTTCCTCTTCTTTCTCTTCTTCCTCTTCTTCCTCTTCTTTCTCTTCTTCCTCTTCTTCTTGTGATTCATACGAGAAAATGAGGAATGCTGAACTAGATTTGTTAGGAAAGAAAAAAATGAAACACAAACTACACTTTACAACAACAGTGTTGAGTGCGGAGTGTTGTGTAGTCTTTACAACAATGTCTTTGTTGACTGTCTAGCTGTCTGAGTAATTATTCAGTTGAATATCTATTAACAAGTACATACCGTAAATACTGTAATAGTGCCCCCCCCCCCATAATGACGGTGCGGAGTGTTGTGTAGTCTAGCTTTGGACGCGTTTTTCTCGACACTGCTTTATGCTACAGTGCGCGTTTAGGTATCAAAAAATAGCTGAAAATCAGGGCTATTTGCATTAAGACTTCATTTCAAAGATTTCACATCAATCTTTCCTTATCTTTTCACTTTGTTCTGATCGTTTCCCCTTTTCCCCTCTTTTCTCTCATTCAACTCGTTCATCTTCTCTCATTCAACTTCTTCATCTTCTTCTCTCATTCAACTCCTTCATCTCCTTCTCTCATTCAACTCCTTCATCTCCTTCTCTCATTCAACTCCTTCATCTCCTTCTCTCATTCAACTCCTTCATCCCTTCCTCATCAACGTTCACTCCTCCTCATCAACCCCATCCCCTCTCACAACTCCTTCATCTCCTCTCTCATCAACTCCTTCATCTCCTTCTCTCATCAACTCGTCATCTCCTTCTCTCATTCAACTCCTTCATCTCCTTCTCTCATTCAACTCCTTCATCTCCTTCTCTCATTCAACTCCTTCATCTCCTTCTCTCATTCAACTCCTTCATCTCCTTCTCTCATTCAACTCCTTCATCTTCTTCACTCTTTTCCTCCCCTTTTCATTGTGAAATCTTTATACTTTCTTTCGAAATACCCGTTTGTTTTTTTTTCTTTTATAATTAAAGCCAAAATTTCTTCACATTTAAACAAAAAGTCTTTTTTTTCATAACCAAATTCATAAAAAGAGTCTTTGATAACCAGAAATAATCCAAAGAAACCTTTTTTTGACTCGAACTTTACATGAAGAAGAAGAAGAGGAAGAAGAAGAGGAGAAGAAGAAGAAGAGGAAGAAGAAGAAGAGGAAGAAGAAGAAGAGGAAGAAGAAGAAGAAGGTATCTCCTTTCTGTCTCTTTCATCTTTCATCTTTCCCTTTGTCCCTTCTGGAGTTGGGGTACCGCGTGGCTCAGTCGGTTAGAGCTCAGGGCTTTGAAAGCGAAAGGTCGAGGGATAAAGAAAATCCATGGAATAAAGAAAAAGAACTTTAAAAAACATAAATCTTTTAAATTTGATCTACTAAGAGTCAAAGAACTAAACCGTTTCTGTAAATGATAACTTGAAAGAAGCAGCTGCTCTTTTCGCACAAATGCCGTTTTTCCTAGAAAAGAGCTTCTACCGTAAGCTTTACGTCTGTCTTTTTTTTGTCTTTTTTTTCTGTCTGTCTTTTTTACTGTCTTTTTTTGAGTCTTTTTTGTCAGTCTTTTTTTTGTGTCTGTCTTTTTTTTG